ACCCCCAGCCTTCTTTTCACTGTCAGAGGCCTTCAGGAACTTCTGTGGCCAGCAAGGCTTTCCTTAAGGCCTCTGCAACTGATAACAGAGCTCTGGGTCGATCCAGAGCTTTGTCATCAGCTGCAGAGGCCTTCAGGAAAGCCTTGCCGTCTGCAGAAGAAATGGGCCCCAAGGCAGGTGTGTGAGGCCTGGCTACAATTGTCCAAAGATAAATAATAGGGCAGTTCCACCACCCATCCCCACCCTAGCTTAATTTTTACCCATGTACTCTGGAGTGGGCTGGATCTTAATCAGGGCTTATTTGGGGGGTAGGGTTGATATTGGGCGCATGTGTAAAAATCAAGCTAGGACTTACTTTCAGAGTAGGTTGTATTTTCGAGGAAAGGGGGTAGACTTCAACTTGCATCATCCTGTTTGCAGGCCATCTAAGCTATCCTCTAAATCTGGAGGGTGTTCTCTGCAGTCAAATGGCCTGCTGGAGAAAAAAAACCCGCTCCATCTGCAAAGAAAGCATGTCTGAGAGCAGGGAGGAGAAGTGGATATGGCGCTCCAGGAATGAGATGCACCTTTTGCGGGGAATATCAGGCAGGGGAAAAGAAGTGCTTTAGGCTCTCGCAGGGGCAGCAGGAGGCACTGCAGTACAACCCAAATGGGGCTCCTGGATCCTAGCCAGAAACTCTTCTTGCAAATCACCCCACTTTTTCTCCAGACAAAAGAAGTTGTTGCAATGGACTTTTGATGGTTTTGGAGTTGGACCCTCGCTAATAAACATGTTGTCCTCACACCTTGGACTTCTGTTTGAAGAAGGGCACCTGGAAGGATCTGGGGCCAGGTTTAACCTGACCTTGCCTCACCTCACCTCACCTTGGAAACTCCCCAGTTTGGAGGAGTAGTCAGAAAAACTGTCCAGTCTCAGAAAAGAAAAGTAGCCTTTAAAAAAGAGGAGGCTGAATTGTGGAGACAACCCCCCCTCCCAAATACCATTTGAGAGACCAATAAGACTTCTGTCCAGCCGTCACCCCACCGATCCTTCCCAGGAAACTGCTCTTTCAATTCAGGATGGTTTCAAGTCCTCCCTTTGCTTTTCAATGCGTTGCTGATAGGAGTTGCTTTTGTCAGATAACAGATAAACAAAGTTGGAAGGGACCTTGTAGGTCATCTAGTCCAACCCCCCACCCAAGTGGAAGACCTTACACCATTTCTGACAGATGAGAGTCCAATCTCTTCTTGAAAGTCTTAACTGATGGCGCTCCCACAACTTCCTAGGGCAACTTCTGTTCCATGAGTTGATCGTTCTCACTGTCAGAAAGTTTATCCTTATTTCCAGGTTAAATCTCTCCTTGTTCAATTTCCATCCATAATTCCTGGTCTGGCCTACAGGCACTTTAGAAAATAGTTTGACTCCTTCCTCTCTGTGGCAGCCCCTCAAATATTGGAAGATTGCTATCATGTCTCCTCTGGTCCTTCTCTTCACGACTAGCCAGGCCCAGTTCCTGTAACCGTTCTTCATATTTTTTAGCTTCCAGTCCCCTAATCATCCTAGTTGCTCTTCTCTGTACCTTTTCTAGAGTCTCAACATCTTTTTTATAATGTGGTGAACAAAACTGGATGCAGTACTCTAGGTGTGGTCTTATTAAGGCTTTATAGAGTAGTATTAGTACTTCCCTTGATCTTGACTTTATCCCTCTGTTAATACAACTTAGGATTGCATTAGCTTTTTTGGCTGCTGCTGCACACGGCTGGCTCATATTTAGCTGGTTGTCCACTAAGACTCCGAGATCCCTCTCACAGTTACTGCTATTAAGCCTAGTTTCACCCAGTCTATATGTATATTTTTGTTTTTTCTTGCCTAAGTGTAGGACTTCACTTTTCTCTATATTGAATTTCATTGTCCACCGAAAGCAAACACTTTCACTTCCTTTTTGGAAATCACCAAATTTAGGTTTTTTTTTGTGGTTATCGTTGTTTATCAACAGTTAGCCGCCCTTATCACAAGTTGTTCTGAGCAACAAGCAGCAAAGCTAAAAAGAGATAGTTGGTAAATAGTAAAACAATCCATATTGTAATCATGATTCAAACATTTAAATGATTTTTTAGAAAGAAGATATGGTAGGCAAAGATATTTTAATAATAATTCCACCTTGATAATTAACCAGTGCCCTGGAGTCCCCAGGCCTGATGACACAAACACGTTTGAAGGACTTCCTGTGAAGTTTCAGAGTTTGATCTGAAAGCTGACATGGCAGAAAGCTGACCAAGATGTTAAAATCTCCAAAGGGGAGGTGGGGATTAAAAACAAGGCCCCGCTTTTACCTGTCTCAAAAAAAAAAAAAAAAAAAGAGTTCCCTGGTTTTAGGAAACCAGATTTATTATTTTCCCAAACTAAGGATTAACCCAGGAACGGCAATGTACCAAATGCACTGAGAGTTTTGAAACAGTTGAAATAACTTTTCCATCATTGTCCTGACAGTCAGTTGAACGGACCTCAAAGATGCAACTTAACACGAAGCATCCACGGGAGAGGTTTGTGTCAAGGGTGGGCTTCAACAGGTTCTCTGCCCGGTTGCTGGGTGGGCGGGGCCTAATTGGCCTCCTGCACCATGGGGGAGGGGCTGTTTTTGCCCTCCCCAGGCTTCCCAGGATTTCCTCAAGCCTCTGGGAGAGCGAAAACGGCCTCCCCCAGGCTCTGGACGCCCTCTGGAGGCCAGAAACGGGCCTGTTTCTGGCCTTCCGGAACTTTCAGGAGGCCCGTTTTGGGCCCTCCCCGAGCCTCCACAAGCTGCCTTGGAGGAACTTCCAGACAAATTATTACTTACCTGTTTTGCCCAGCAGAAGGTTTCAGCCACTGTCAACCAGCTGGCGAACCTTAGAAGGTTGATGTGAGAGGACTGGAAGGAGAAAATATTGACTCTGAAGAGATGAAATTTAGCCAGGGGCCCTTAGCTTGCAGAAGGACAGTCCTGGTTCTAACCAGCAACCACCACATGATACTGAAGTCTTTCAACAAAGTAAACATGTTCAGCAGATGGCCTGGAAAATATGGACTACTGAGTCCATGTGTGTCAACTCATAAAATAGTTCCATGGACTTTTTAGGGTTGTCAACAGAAAGGGAGTGGGGAGCAGTGCGACAGCTTGCAAACCAAAACTGCATTCCGTACATATTTTCAAAGATAATAACTAGGTGATTGAAGTTTCTGTCATGCAAATATCTAACTGGAGAGCATGATTGATTACTCTTGGCTATGGATGTGTCCCATTGGAGAATATGAATTATGATACACCCGGGGGGGGGCGGGACCTGGGTCAAAGGTGACAATGAATGATGTGTCTCAGAGTCGGCCAAACCGGTCATGCTGGAGGATATTGCAGGCAGCAGAAGGTTCTCCATGGCGTCTCCAGACCTGTCACGTCTGTCACATGTGCTCAGTGTGAACCTGCTTTCATCTGTGAAGAGCACAGGGCACCAGTGGCGAATTTTCCAATCTTGGTGTTCTCTGGCAAATGCCAAATGTCCTGCACGGTGTTGGGCTGTAAGCACAGCCCCCACCTGTGGACGTTGGGCCCTCATATCACCCTCATGGAATCCGTTTCTGACCATTTGAGCAGCCACATGCACATTTGTGACCCGCTGGAGGTCATTTTGCAGAGCTCTGGCAGTGCTCCTCCTGTCCCTCCTTGCACAAAGGCAGAGGTAGCGGTCCTGATGCTGGGTTGTTGCCCTCCTACGACCTCCTCCACATCTCTTAATGTACTGGCCTGTCTCCTGGTAGCACCTCCATGCTCTGGACACTATGCTGACAGACACAGTAAAACTTCTTGCCACAGCTTGCATTGATGTGCCATCCTGGATGAGCTGCATTACCTGAGCCACTTGTGTGGGTTGTAGACTCCATCTCATGCTACCACTAGAGTGAAAGCACCACCAGCATTCAAAAGTGACCAAACCATCAGCCAGAAAGCATAGGAACTGAGAAGTGGTCTGTGATCACCACCTGCAGAACCACTCCTTTATTGGGGATGTCTTGCTAACTGCCTCTGCTTTCCACCTGTTGACTCTTCCATTTGCACAACAGCATGTAAAATTGATTGTCAATCAGTGTTGCTACCTAAGTGGACAGTTTGATTTCACAGAAGTGTGATTGACTCCGAGTTACATTGTGTTGTTTAAGCGTTCCCTTTATTTTTTTGAGCAGTGTAGTTATGAATACATGAAATGGATACATATGAGAAAAAGAAAGAAACAATAGGACAGGGAGGGTAGGCATGTTGGGTTGAGGTCAATAGTAGACAGTCTAAGGTTAAAGTTTTGGGGGTTTGGGGAAGAAACCACAGATTCAGGTAGAGTATTCCAGACATTGACCACTCGGTTGCTTGCCTAAGTGTAGGACTTTTTCTTTACATTGAATTTCATTTTGTTAGATACAAGTCTTAAAGCTGTCAAGTTTGAAGACCCTTGCCCTAGAAGAAGTACCAAAGGAGGGAGCAGCATCTTAATTTATTCCCAGAAAACCCAAGTGCTTTGAAGCTTCCTAATCAATTCGTATCTTTGTTGAGAAATAAAGGAATGAATGGACTGTATTTGGTGTGTGTTTGTTTTCAAGATGCCCCGAGAGCCTTTGGAGCGTTTTCATGCAAAGCAAAAAAGATCCCTTGTGGTTTCTCACGGCTCCTCGACTGCGAGGTGCCGTGGGGGGTCTGAAGGGGGGCCCCCCCCCCCCCCCCCCGCTTGCATTTAAATAACTCTCCCGCTCTGCCTCCTCCTTCCAAGAGGAGGAAGAGATCCTGGAAACAGATGTTCTCGAGCACCTGACCCGGACAAAACTTTCGCTTCCCCTTTCTTGCCTGTTTTGCTCGGACATCTGCCTAGCAACCAGTGACGACATAAGGAGGCTCCCCCCTCCGCCCGCCCCCCGCCATTGGGTGAGCTTGGCCAATCACCGGCTCGCTCTGGATTCTTGCGCTGTTAATCAGCGGGAAGGCGCGTCTTTCTTTGACTTCGGGAGAGCGGAGCGCAGGTGGAGGATGGCGGGCAGGATGGCTCTGCGCTCTTCTCCCCTGTTGAGTCTGGTGTGGCTGGCGGTCGCCTTTCCGGAGAGCAGCTGCGGTGAGTCCCACTTCAAGGAGGTGAAGGATCCAGCCCCGTTTTCTGCTGTTGCGAATCCATCCAGGGCAGGGGTCTCCAACCTTGGCTACTTTAAGACTTGTGGACTTCAATTCCCAGAATTCCTCAGCCGGCTTTGCTGGCTGAGGAATTCTGGGAGTTGAAGTCCACAGGTCTTAAAGTGGCCAGGGTTGGAGACTCCTGAATATCTCTGTGTGTGTGTGTGTGTACGCGCATGTGACATCCTTTGTCTCCCAGAAGGAGAATCCTGATTCAGTCCTCCTTCTAGTCCGCACCCCTGCTCCAATGGCTAATTTCAGAACGGGTCTCAAAGCACAAATGGGTCTCTCCCAGAGATGGTCTTTAGCAAGTTCTGACCCGTTCTGGAGAACCGGTAGCGGAAATTTGGAGTAGTTTGGAGGACCAGCAGTGTGGGATTCAAAACTTTTTACTACTGGTTCTGTGGGCTTGGTGGGCATGGCAGGGGAAGGATACTGTTTGCTTGGCCACGGACTCACATTTGTGACGGTTGCAGTGTCCCCTTTGGACGAGCAAACTCCGTGGGGGAAGCCAGATTCATTTAATAATCGGGTCACTAATGAACAACTGCAGCGATTCCCTTTTAACAACTGCGGCAAGAAAGGTTGCAAAATGGGGCAAAACTCACTTAACAAATGTCTCAGCTAACTCACGTGCTGTCATAAGTTAAGGACTGTCCGTGCTATCTCCGGTTATACCTTATGTAGCCAGTGCTCCGTATCTGGAAAAAAAATATTTGTATTTATCAAATATAGAAGTAAAGGTTCCCCTCGCACATGCGTGCTAGTTGTTTCTGGCTCTAGGGTTTATCTTAGATCAATTTTTTTAAAATGAAAATAGTATATGCATCTAGTGAGGAGGACATGCAAACAGCCGGTGAGTTCAGCAAAGCAGGAGCAGATCGCTGACAGCTTTTGAAGATTTCATGCTCCTTTCCTGATCCCGTTCAAAAGCCCAGCCCTATGTACAACTCTATATTTAAACCAGGGCAGTGGTAGGATTCAAACTTTTTTACTACCTGTTCTGTGGGCGTGGCTTGGTGGGCGTGACCTGTCTTGGTGGGCGTGGCAGGGGAAAGATACTGCAAAATCCCCATTCCCTCCCTACACCACTAACCTGCTTTCCAGCTCCGTTCTCCTGTGCAGGGCAACACAAGAAGACCCAGCCGATCAGCTGGGACTTGATGGGAGGCAGAGAAGAGATGGGGGCGGGGCCAGTCAGAGGTTTTGCAGTATCCTTCCCCTGCCACGCCCACCAAGCCACGCCCACCAAGCCACACCTACAGCACTGGTAGTAAAAAAAAATTGAATCCCACCACTGGTTCGGGGTTCTTCAGCTGAAGCCCCCTGACTCTCTTCCTCTGGGTTCTTTGAAGGCTCCTTCTCACACTCTTTGAAGTTTACCTCCTTCACTATTTCGGAGCCCAGTCAGGGGCTGCCTCACTTTGTGATGCTGGTGGACGTGGATGATCATGTCCTTCTTCACTATGACCGCGAGACCGGGAAGATGCAGCCTCGCGTCTCCTGGATAGAGAAGTTGAAGGAGGATGACCCGGAATTCTGGGACAAAGTGTTCAAGGAAGCACATGAGGTTGAGAAGATGTTCGTAAATGGCCTGGAGTTTGTGAGGATTTTCTCCAGTCATAGCGAAGGTGAGTGATGGGTTCTAGAGAAAAAAGAAATGGGGGTCCCTCCCGGGTTAAAGGCTGTTTCCTAACTTTTGAAAAGATTTTTGTTCTGAAAAATATGTTTATTGCTTTAAAAATTATCAGGTATAAAGATGAATTTTCATATGCGCAAATACATTCAAGGTATGATGAAGATTTTAAAACAGAAGGATTTTATGATAAATTGACTGATTTAGATAAGATTTTGACAGGTACTGATGAAAAGGTGATTAAAAAATTATATGGTTTATTTATTGGAAATTAAACTAGAGGAAGAACAAGTTAAAGAAACTATGATTGCTTGGGGGAAGAATTTTGGATATGGGATTGATTTGGAGAATTGGGAAAAATTGTGGTCTCAAAATTATAAAATGACAATGTCAACAGCTTATAAAGAAAATTTGTATAAGGTGTTTTACAGGTGACATTTTCCCCCAACAAGAATAGCAAGAATGTTCAAGAATAAATTCGAAAAATGTTGGAAATGTCATCAGATACCTGGCTCATATTACCATATGTGGTGGACTTGTGAGGACGCTAGAAAATATTGGACTGAAATTCGCATGTGGTTGGAAAAAAATGACAAAGAAACACATAGACTTGAAACCAGAGATTTTTTTTATTGGGAATTTTACCTGACACATATAGTAAAGATTTGAAATACAATGTTTTTGTTTGTCTTTAAAAACCAATAAAATTGTTTTCAAAAAAAAAATGTGAAAAATAAGTAAATTAAACATGTTAAAATAAAAATAAAAACCCAAAACCGTATAACATCGGAGTGATGTAAAACAAGGTAAAGAGGAGGAAAGAGAGTGAACTCCACACTGCTGTGGAGAGGGAATGCTAGCTTTCCCCACTCCATCCTTGAAGGCAGGTGCTTCTTTTTCTTCTTTTTTTGTAATTTTTTTTATTTTTAACAACAAACATAAACAAACACCAAAACACAAAAATGAAATAAAATCTTCTTTCCATTGTACAGCGTGTCAGTTGGTACATATCTTTTGTGCACAATATCAACAGTCATTCCCTTTTAGTTTTATGTTACATTTCATAATATATAAAGCTACTGTCCACTTGATATTATATTATTATCAAATCATTCTTAGACTATGATTACAAATTCACATCATCCTTTTCAAGCAAGCCTCAACTTTTACAAAACCTGGTTCATTCATTTCACAATAAACAATTATAACCTATCATTACATTATATTATCTTTACTATTATATTGTATTAATACTATTGTCAGGTAACAGAACTTTTCCCATTCAGTCAACAAGAATGAACTTCTGAAAACCAAACGTATCAAAAGGAATCCTTCATTGAGATGAGACAATTCATGTAGGGATTAAAAGCAGCATCTAACGTGCCTCAGGCATGCAGGGACAGATAAGGGAGTTTAAGACCCTTCCCCTTCTCTTGATGTGTATTTAGCAAAACAAAGAGCCGACAGGTTTACTCCCCGCACCCCCCCCCCATCTTCTGAGAACAATCTTTTTTGAGGTTCCCAGGTAACATCTCCCAGCAGGTATTTTTATGGTCTCTTCATCCTGTGGCTGTCTCTTTCAGAGGTGACAGGTTTCCGGGCGTCTGGTTTCCGTCCCTCCATAGTATATTGCTATGTCTCACCTGTGCCAATGAGGTGAGAAATCCAAATTTCCAAATGAATATAAACAAGCAAACAAGTCCAGTAATGACAGGGTTAAATTCCTTGAGCTGGGAAAGTTCTTTGCAGTCACACACAAGCTGTCTGCCAAGTCCGATAATAAAGCAAGAACATAAATCACAAGCTGTCGCCACACACATAATCTTTTGAAGCTTCTCTCACAAATTAACACGTTGTCCAGAACAAGTTCCCAGAGCGAATAACCCCACTTTTATTCCCTGTGGGGCATGTCAGTCCCTCATCTCAGTCTCTGATTCGTCCCTTCTTTCTTTCTGCGTTGCAGCTCGCACTTTTGCCTACGCCGCTGCCTCGCATCAAGCCAGCATTCCTCTGCGTGATTTCTTAGTCAGAGACTCTAATACGCCCTCTTCCTTTTCCTGATCAGCCTCAGGTCTTCCCTCCTGGTTATCTGCCGACACCTGAGGCACAATCAGGGAGGAAGGCATTGCCGAAGAGAAAGGTCCTGGGGAAGAAGACATTTCCAACACCTCCTCTTCCCCACTGTCCGAGTCTTTGTCCTCTAATAAAGCAGGCTCAAACCTCTGAGCCACAACAGTATATCATGGATTATCCAAATTTAATATAATATATCCATGTTACATCAAAAGAGGTTTCTTATACCAACTCCCCCCACCCCTTCTTCCATGAAGAATGGCAGATACACGGATCTGACAACTATAGTGTATTTTATTTCTCTTTTTTCTTACCTAGCCAGTGACAGAATAAATTCCTAATTTTATTCTTGTTCTGTAATAGCAAATGTCAATCTACTCATTTCTGCACATTCCATTATTTTCTTTATCATCTCCTCTTCTATTGGATTTTTTTTTCATTTTTCTAGTTTTGCGCAAATACAATTCTACCAGCTGTCGGAACATTAATAATCAAATATATCAATTCTCTACTTTATCCTTCAGGCAAGATACCCAATAAAAATATTTCAGGTTTCAAGTCTATATGTTGTTTTGTCATTTTTTCCAACCATGGATGAATTTTTGTCCAGTATCTTGTGGCTTCCACACACGTCCACGAAGAGGCTCCTGGTGGTAGGGACTTCTGTTGCTTTCCGCCAGTGGTGTGTTTCAAAATAGTTTACCACCAGTTCAGTGGGCGTGACTTGGTGGGCGCGCTTGGTGGGAGAAGATGGAGGAAAATGGGGAGGGAGAATGTTTGGAGAGCGTGATTAGGGGTGCAGGATGAATGGGGAGACTCAATGTCTCATCCAAAGGGCCTGAGGAATTTCATGGGGCAAAATGCATTGCTTTCATCTTCCAGTCATTTGTTCCTTTTCTTGTTGGCTCCTCCCTGAGTCAAAGTCCCTGCAAGAATGTCATTGTCTGTCTCTTCTGAGGATACCTCAAACCATAATCCTTCCTTTCTTTCAGACCTTCGTGTGGTGCAGGTCATCCTAAGCTGTGATCTCCAGGGAGATGGGAGCAAAAGAGGGTTTGTGCAGGTGGCTTATAATGGGGAGTCTATGACACCACCATCCACCATGGATAAGTCTGAAATGGAGGAATGCATTGCTTTGCTAGAGAAGTTCCTGTCTTACGGGAATGAGACGCTGCTGAGGACAGGTGAGTATCTGGATCCAGGCTGGACTTTCCTCCTTTCTGATCTGTTTTGGGCCCCTGGTCTGCAGCTTGGCTGTCCAGAAAGCAACCCTTCCACCCCCCCAGGACACAGGAAGCCATTCAACAGAGCATGAAATGCAGTCTCTGCCTGGTGGGTCTCTGTGTGGATCAGGCCGCAAAAGCACTTAGGGGATGTCCTCTTCACAGCTCATGATGAAGCAACATGGGGCTATTCAGTGGAACCACCATTAGTGTTGTGGTCCGTCAGCAGCCTGCGGAGCAGCAGGCAGCAGAGTTGAACAGTGGGGAGGAACATGGGCCAGTCTGGGGAGGCCTTGGACGAGGGATCTGCATCTGATACAGAGATGGGGCCAGGGCCATCTGGGAATTACATGCTGACCCCGGAGCCTCCAGAATCTGACAGCAGCGAGGCAGAGGAACAGGGGGAGCCTATTCCCAGCGTGTGTATGTGCAGAGCTGCCAGAAGGCAAGAGCAGCTAAAACAAAAGGGGCGACTTGGGAATAAGGCTTGTAGGTGATTCTATTCTTCCGCTGAAGGGAGCACTCCAACATCACTCAGAGTTCCAAGCAATCCGAGTGGAATTTCTTTATACCGTCAATTTGCTGCTGGAGGTTTTTCAAGCTGAGTCCCTGGAAAGGACTCATAATCAGGAGTCCTTGTGGTTGAACGTTTTCCAGATTTGGAGTATTTCCTAAAACTTTCGGGATGCTACAGTTATAGTGTGCTAAATCCTTGAGTACGACCAAGTACTGGGAGAGTTGTCTGCTCCTTCAAGTTTCTCATCCACGTTCCACCCTCTGAAGAGGCTCAGAGTTAATTCTAGTGATGTTGTTTCTGCAGATCCTCCAGTGGTGACAGTGACCAGAAGGGTGGAGGCCGAAGATGAGAAGGAAACACACATTTGTCGGGTCCACGGCTTTTATCCCAGGGTGGTCAATGCCTCCTGGATGAGGGACGGGGAGGTCTGGCTGCAGGACACCCTCCATGGATCTGTGGCCCCCAACGCGGATGCCACCTACCACTACTGGCTCAGCATCCAGATTGATCCTAAAGAGAGGGGACGCTATAAATGCCACGTGGAGCACGACGGCCTGCAGGAACCTCTGGACGTGGCTTTGAAGGATGAGGGGCAGCAGGGTGAGAAAGGCTGGGTTCTTTGGCAGGCTGGAGGATTGTGGGAGAAAAATTTGACCCCAGCTGTATCTAGATGTGACCCTGCCTGAAATTTAATCCATTGTTTTTCCCACTGTTGAAGTATGTAGACTTGCAGGGACCAGTCCATAGAATAGGCCTCAGGTAATTTAAAGGAAGCAACAAATCCCATCATAACAGTTGACCAATCTTGATGAAATCCCCTTATAGACCCTCTCTTAGCCTCTGTCCACCCCCTCTTTCCTGCCTCCAGCAAAGGAACAGCCGTTAAGCTGAGCCCCCGAAAGAGATTTTTCTTTGGTTAGAATTCCTAAAGTACAAAAATTAGGAGGAGTTTCACGATCCCGTTTCTGAATTCTGAATTTTTATTCAAATTGGTGAACAGCAGTGGACTTCATAAAATACAGAAAGGAGAGCTACCACTCTCAGTTTTTTTGTCTCCTAGGTCTCAGGGAAACCTCCTGGGCAAAGCAGTAAGGCAGCGAGGGAGATCCTGGCACAGCTGATCATCAGAACAGCTGATTGTTGGGAGGGGAAAAAAAGAAATACCTTAAGGAGTGACTGGGCAGGGTAAATGCAGTCAGCGACGTTGGGCATGTGCACGATGTTGCGCAAGCGCGATAAGGACTGACGGGCGGGGGGGGGGGGGGGGGGACGGGGGGGGGCGGGGCCAGCCAGGGTCACCATTTGCCAGTTCTCCGAACCGTGCAGAATCATAACAACCGGTTCTATAGAACCTGTCCGAACCGGTAGAATCCCACCCCTGGTTTTCCTCCTGTAAAGGACAAATTGCTTCTCCAAGGAAAGAAGCGTATTTCATGATCAGGGATTTATTAAAACAATCAGTTTATTTATGTAAATTTATTGACACCTTGGCTAGCCAGGTGTCTTCATGGTACCTTTACAGGGATGTAATGAGGAGGCCCTCACACTTTTTAATTTGAGGAATTCCCTGCGGTTTGGCTGCATTAAGTCTCTCCTTTAATTGGAAGGATTGTTTGGGGTTCGCCTCAATTCTGTTCCAGAATCCAACCAGATGAGGCTCATCATCGGCTGCACTGTGGCTAGTCTTGTCCTGTGGTGTGTTATTGCTGGGGCTTTGATATTCTTTTTGATGATTGAAGGAAGATGGAGAAATCCTCCTCTCCCTTTCGGGAGCTTCTTCTGGGTTTCATTCTCCCATGTTTTCCCAGCCCTTTTGGGAGCATCTGAGATCTGGCCTCTTTTGGGACTTCACTCTTGACTCAACTGTACGTCTACAACAGTGGTTGGTATGCTACTAGTTTGGAGCAGTTCGGCCAAACCAGTAACGAAAAAAAAAAAAAAGCTTCAGCTGAGAGGAGGAAAAAATATCCTGACAATCAGTCGAGAGGAAAAGAAGAGAAAAGTGCAGGATCGGCCCTTCCTACCTGCTCCCCGTATGCCTTTCTCTTCTTTATCCTCTCAGCTGATTGGTGCTGCAGGTCTCAACTGGTGTGGGGAAAGCTGCACGCCGGTGTTAGGCAAAGCATGCCCACCAAGCCATGCCCACCAAGCCACACGCACCAAGCCACACCCACCAAACCGGTGATAAAACAATTTGAATCCCACCACTGAGTCTGCAGGGCAGCAAGTGGATGATTTGTGATCTTCACATGTTAGCTGCCATTCAGAGCTGGGGTCAGAGGTAGCATCCGTTGTGTGTTTGTGTCTGTGTGTACCCAAAGACATGATGCTTCAGAGTTGTTTTATCTCTGTCTTTCTCCCAAGAGCTGAGAAAGGTGCCCCCCCCCTTTTTTTAATACATCCAGGCTGTCCTAGGGAATGGAGGCTGTTCCATATTAGCAGGCTTGAAACCCTGCATTGGTCCATAAAGACCGCTATGTGATTGGACAGTCAGGACAGCTGTGATTGGTTCTCTAGGAGTCTACCGCGATTGGATGAAACCAATCGTGGGAAACTCAAAGCAATGTCATTGGCCGCCTAGCCATGGCTAGCTCTATAAAAAGAGCCGCCATGAGCGCTGTTTTTACTCAGAACTAGCCTGTTAAATAAAGAGCTGTTGTTCACTTAATCTGAGTCTCTCGTCTCTCTGAGTCCGACCTGCCGAACTTAACAGAGACCAGAGGTGGTATTAACAGATAATAGATAACAGATAATCAGAGTTGGAAGGGACCTTATAGGACATCTAGTCCAACCCCCCGCCCAAACGGGAGACCCTACACCATTTCTGACAGATGGCAGTCCAGTCTCTTCTTGAAAGCTTCCAGTAATGACGTTCCCACAACTTCTGAAGGCAAAACTCCATTGGTTGTTTGGTTCTCACTGTCAGAAAATTTCCAGATTAAATCTTTCCTTGTTCAGTTTCCATCCCTTGTTCCTTGTCTGGCCTACAGGCGCTTTAGAAAATAGATTGACCCTCTAGATTGTATTCAGCAGCTTCTGACCAGTTCTGGAGAACCAGTAGCAGAAATTTTGTGTAGAATCCGTAAATACCACCTCTCATTTTACAGTATCCTTCCCCTGCCACACCCACCAAGCCACACCCACAAAACCGGTAGTAAAATTTTTTGAATCCCACCACTGATAGAGACCCCAAGGAGAAATGTCTGACTGGATGATCCATCTCACTAATTAGCTGCTCTGCTTTCTAAGAATACATAAGGGGAAAGCCTTGGCCATAACGTGGTCAGGAAGCTCCATAAAAGTAATGATCGAAAGGAGGCATGTTGAAAAAAAAGGAGCTTTGGTGGAGGCCAGCTGGATCTCCCTTTGGCATCCCACTACAAGTCCCTCCAAATATAAACTGGTTGGAAAAAGAAACTTGGCAGCCATCTTCACCCTCAGGGCAAGTGTGCCTTCTGGCTGAAGAATTGCTGAACTTTTGTTCTCTGTGGAGATATATAAATGATAAGAATTCTTTCCCTATTCCCCTTAAGACCATTGTTCGGTTGAGACACTTTGGATATGTTTATGTGTTTCAGTTTACAGATGAGTGAAGGAAGGAGGGATCTAAAGTCAGAGCTGAGTTTCTCCATCTTTTCCCATCTAGCTAAGACAAGGGTCCCCAACCACCAGGCCGCAGACCGGTACCAGTCCGTGGAACTTTTCCTACCGGGCCACTGGTTTGCTGGGCGCTGCCATCTTGTTTGATGAGAAAGTGCTTCCGGGTGAACTTTTCCAGTTGGAAAGCGGCATTTGGGTCCTGAAGGAATCCTCGCGCCTTAGTTTCATCGAAGGGGGGGGGCTTCAAAAGAAACTAAGGCACGAGGATTCTTTCAGCACCCAAGGCAAGGCGAGCCGAGCGACCATCCCGAAGCGAAGCCCATTGACAAAGGTACAAAGGAGGAGTTGAAGGTGGCGGGGAGAAGCGGGGGACGGCTGGCTGGCCGGTCGCTCGGCTTGCCTTGCCTTGTCATGCGTGCTGATGCCAATAGTCCTCAACTGATGACTTCTCATTGAATGACAGTCTGGAATTACAATAGCCTTAGAAACGATCATAGAGTCCAGCAATTGTCCAAAATTTATTAACTTCCCTCATGGTGTCATAATCATGATCTGGATGCTTGGCAGTCAGTGATGGTATTCAGCCAGTATGCACTTAAAGTTTGGGTGAATCGGTAGCAAGGATTTGGCATGGGTTGCTGAACCAGTAGTAACTTCTGGTTGGCTACGTCCCCAACCCAGTTGCCCAGTCGCCAGTCACTCGCTCACTCCGCCTGCCTGACACTAACCCACCCAGTCACTCCTTAAGGTATTTCTTTTTTTTTTTTCCCTCCCAACAATCAGCTGTTCCTACGATCAGCTGTGCTGGGATTCACCTCGCTTACTTATTGCTTCACCCAGGAGGCTTCCCTGAGGACCAAGAAGGCAAAGCTGAGCTGCCAGAAGGCAAGAAGAGTTAAGACAAAAGGGGAAGTAAGGCTTGGAGATGATTGACCCCCCCCATAAGATATAAAGGAGAAGCAAAGGGACATGAGCCTTTGCAGGAAGCAACTTTGTTAGTTCTGGTCGGTTTAAACTCTGAAGCTCCGTGTTGACTTTGTGCTCCATTTGGCCTTGTACAGCTAATTGTCAATTTAGTCATTGGCAGCATTTCAAGGGAGATAAAGGTGGCTGCTTATCAGCCTTACCCCAAAAGAGTGCGGCAAACTTCTGTTGGATATTCATAAACAGTTTCGGACTCATTGCGGGCTGTGAATGAATACAATTCACAGCCGTTGAAATCAACAAAAGGCTTTTGGGACTAGCGTGTGATTGTAACTGTCTCAGGAAGCCTTGGTCACAACAAAGAGACTCACTCTGTGTCTTTCTCTCCAATGCAGGGAACAATCAGACCATTTAGCGGCCCCTTCACAGGTGAGTGGCCCTTGTGGAGGCTGTATGGGAAGAGAGGGAGGAAGGGAGGTCTAATGACTAGTTAATTGTGAAAATACTTTGAAAAGCCCTCTTCTATTTGTCATGAACACTGAAGGGTAAGAATTTGGGGGAGGCAATGTGGCTGTGGGAAGCAGTCTACCTGTCCGTCCCCCCCCAAACACTTATTCTGCAAGGCCAAATTATGGTACCTCTCGGGATGTGACTGCCTTGGATCAGGAGGCTCAGAGACCTGCAAAGAGGAGATCAGAGTATCTTCAATGCAAGGGGAGGGAGAGGGCAGAGGAAGGGCATCTTGAGGTTCTTGCCAGTCATGGATGGACAGGGGGCTCTTCTCCCCTCCTTGAACCCATCTGGGAATCCCTCCATCCAGATGCTGAAGGGAAGACCTGGGCTCTCTGGAGGCCATGATGAATCCATTTGCATTTATCTCTGGATCGAATAGGATTTGTGCATTTAAGGGTGGAGCATCAATGCTTGTTTGACTTTCTGGAGCAAGTTCTCACCCACCTCAGCAGTCAGTCCCAGCCCTGGGCCTCCCCTATTATAATTCAGAAAAACCCAATGAGGCTGATTCCTCAGAGGAGACCAGGGTATTAGTCTCTTCAGGTTGCTGCCTCTCCTCCTTTACTCCTTTGCCTGACGAGCTGATCAGTGTCAATCCTTCCATCTGGATTGTGGGCTTCCTCATCTTTGTGTCAGGAGTCTGGCAGTTACCCCCATTTAAATCATGAGTCTCAAGCCAAACTTCCAAAACTTAAAAAGGATTTAGTGGGAGTTAACACGCTGGCACTACCTGGGTATAGCCGACTCTGAGACACATCATTCAGTGTCACCCTTGACCCTGGTTTTCCCCCCACCCCCTGGGTGTATCGTTATTCATATTCTCCAATGGGACGCATCCATAGCCAAGATCATCAATCATGCTCTCCAGTTAGAATTTTGT